ATAATCACCGAGCCATGCCGTGCCCAGAAATCTAATCACCGAGACCATGCCGTGCCCAGATATATAGTTAGTGGTTTTGTTCAACCAAACTTTGTAGTCTTTGTAGTTCATCGACACTGTGAGCCAACAGCAAGAAAATGAATGCAATTACTTTTTGTTTTACTTTACATATTTTCAAAGGATATAGGGTTAAAACATTCCCCAGGGGATTCAGGACTTCCAAATCCCTTTCCGAAGGATCATCAAACAATAAGGACACCCTTACATTTAATAAAGAAAACGAATGTTTTCAAAACGCTTTATGTCGCGGTAGAAGACCTCCTCTCCATACACACATATACCACTTATAAAAAATCCTGGATCCATCACTAAGAGTCACATGTTTTCTAAGAAAAGACATAAAATACTTGTCAATAGATTACAAAGGTGCTAAATAAAATTCTACATAGCGCTAAGATCAAAGATAAATAGCCACCAAAGACAAAAAATACATCTCCATAGATTACAAAGGTGCTAAACACATTTTACATAGCGACAGGATCAAAGATCGATAACAACCAAAGACAAAATGCATCTCAATATATTACAAAGGTGCTAAACATATTTTACATAGCGACAGGATCAAAGATCGATAACAACCAAAGACAAAAAATACATCTCAATAGATTACAAAGGTGCTAAACACATTTTACATAGCGACAGGATCAAAAATCGATAACCACCAAAGACATAAAATGCTTCTCAATAGACTACAAAGGTGCTAAACACATTTTACATAGCGACAGGATCAAAGATCGATAACCACCAGAGACACAAAATGCTTCTCAATAGACTACAAAGGTACTAAACACATTTTACATAGCGACAGGATCAAAGATCAATAACTACTTCAGCTACATGGTTCCCTCTGAGCGTGTATCATCGCCTAACGACTGCAACGAGAATCCGCTAAGGCTTCATGTGATGACGAATCACCATAAAGCTTTATCTTGAGCTTTCATATAGTTAACTTTTCCGCTGTAAATTCCCAGAAGAGTTCCTTAATCTAAATGGCAAATACCGAACCAGACATCAATATGTGAACTTAGCTTCAATGAATATTTTGTATGAGAATGCAAGATATAGTAATCCAACCAATCAGACAATATCACACAAGCGTAATGCCATTCCCACAAGTAGTATGGTGAATGCACTCATGGCTCCCAAGACAGAACAGATACACGACAAACGTGTAGAAATCGAACTTGTGGATGGTGAAAGCTACTCCATGCGATAGATTAATGCAAAATTTAATAATTCATTATCAGCTGTGTGAAAACTGTGTACAGTGAACAAGAAACTAGCACTGTTAATAATACAAGCGATAGAGATAGAAAATTTGAAGCTCTTCAGAAGTGATGTTCCGTAATTCAAGTTATGCTCTTTATATGATACATGACAATCCAGTAGAAGTCTTGCACATGACATAACTGTAAGAACACGTCTGAATGTTACCTCTTAAACAGTAAGATGTACCAGATATAGTGTGATTCACATATTATTATACACTTTTCTTTGCTTTAATTCTGCAGTTCTTATTAACAATTATCACGAAGCGACCTCAATGGTTGTGTAGCTCTTCAAAAACCAATGCTTAAGAGAGATAACCAAACAAAAATGCTGAAATGGACATCGGGCTTCAAATAATGGAATGGGTCATGCTGTAAGACGGTGTTCTTTACAGAATAATCCAAATTCAAATTGTTTATCAACAATCAAAGACAGTTTGTTCGCTTTCAGAGAAAATAATGATATTAAAGTCAATTTACAACTTCTACAGTGAAGCATACTGAGGGACCAATGGGCTGTATCTCAGCTAATGGTGTTGTAGATCTACACACAATTGATATCACCATCACTGCTGACTGGTACAGTCAGATTCTTATACATCAGCAACTTTGTGGTGAAGTGATATTTGGAGTACAAAAATAGGCCCGATGGACTACTCGAACCCATGACTCGGCCTACACAACTTCCAGATATGGATATTACTAAGGATATGTGGGCTTATATGAAAACTGAGAAGGTCAAACGGCAATCAGACAATTTGACTGAATTGTGGGGATTAATATGTGACGTTTCGAATGATATTTCATAAACATAAATGGACAAGCTTATAGTAGCATAAGAACATGGTGTAAGGCTCTGTTTAAAACAAATATAAATGGCTAGTGCATTGTACGATGCATTCGCTTTCCTTGTGTATTTTCAATAATGTATTGCACTAATGATTAATTGACCATTTTGTTGTAATTACGTATTGTATTTGACTACTGCACGCGTTTCCTTGATTTATATTACTTTACATGCACATCTAAATTATAACAATAAAGTAAAAACGTAAATTAAAGACATTTAGTAACTTAACCGATCACAGTCACTTAGTAAGAGCATAGACATAGTGTTCAGATATCTAACTGAACATAGTAACATAGTCTATAAGCCTATAAGCGGAACTACTTGATTAGGTTCACAAAACGAACGGGATTTAGTTAACAAACGTGACTATTTGAATAAACAAAAAGGGTTGTGTGAGCGTACAATTAAAAACGAATTTCGCCCCCCAGTGGCACAGCGGTATGTCTGCGGACTTACAACGCTAGAAACCGGGTTTCGATACCCGTGATGGGCAGAGCACAGATAGTCCTTGTGTAGCTTTGTGCATAATTAAAAAACAAACAAACAAACAAACAATTAAAAACGAATTTCCATTTTTTTAAGTACGAGAAAGCTGTGCTTCCTGGTAGTATATACCTTTGATGAGTTTACGACACCTTAAAATTCACTATACATGTTTACTTATTGTTATTGTAAGACTTGAATTTATAATACGCGATAAACAACTAGCACCAGAATGTTACTATTAGATATGTTTAATAATTCGTTTAAGACAAAGCTAGATGATTAAGTTGCGGAAGTTAATATTACTTTCATTGCTTACACTATGCATATAGTTTAAGAAAAATCAGTAAAATAATGATTTAAATCCAGAGAGTTCAAAGTACTCTCGTGTTTCGAGGAGAAGGTTATCAAGAAATACTGGTTTACACTAAGTTCTTTAACCTATCCCACGTTCTCATATTTGTAATACAAAGATTTTTCGTTTATGGTTTTAAATAAAAGCAACTGTAAAATCACAGATTGATTAGTTGCTGCTCCTGGGCTTTAAAGATGTTTCTTTTGGGATACATATAACATATCTATCTAGCTTTTTCTATATATATATATAGATATACCAACGTTTACGATTATTTATGTTACATAATAAAAATAGAGTTTTGAAATAAAAAAAAAATAATTAAAAATAAAACCATCTGCAATTTTCTAATCACAAAAACAAAAACTGAGCAATAACGAAAATAAAACACCTTTCATAACGTAGGAAGAAAGCAGAAAATATTACAAGTTCCATCCTCATATATGATGGCAAATAATAAATTACGATCGAATCATTGCAGCATGATGGCAAATAATAACAAGTTACGATAGAATCATCGCAGCATTTAAACGAAAAACGACAACATGATGCTACAGTTAATTAAATCAATTAATTAAACTCTACTTAGTCTAATTATCGCGTGTTCTGAAGCACGTCGAAATCCTGAATTTTTTAAACAGATACTCATTCAATGATCTCACTACCCTGAAACAAAATGCAGCAATAACAAAAAGAAACTGAAAAGAGCAACAACCGTAGTTCACCTAAGATATCTCATCCTCACAATCTAGTTGTGTACGTATTTGCAACAAACAACAGAATATGTTGAAGCATCTAACGGCTCAAAGCAATAAAGAATTGTTTATGCGATTTTCACGGCTATTTCGCAGTTTAAGGTTTGCAGTTTATTTTTTTAGAATTTTAAGTCATCCCAGAATACGGTTATAACTGCAAATAAAAAGAACTTAGTAGCAGACGTTCAAATAGATATTTAATCAAGCTAATCAAGTGAACAATATGAATTGGTTAGTACCTGATGCCGCCAAGCGAATTTGATAAAACTTGTATCAAAATCAACCTTCTCGGCAAAGCCATTTATACTTTGTAACAAGGTTATTGTACTCCCCCCCCCAAAAAAAATGGGCAAATCAGTTGTAAATGTGAGGGCATATAACGTTACATTTCTGGGTTCGATCCCTGCGGTAGACATAGAAAAGATAGCCAGTTGTGCAGATTTGCACTTAACAATAAACAAGCAAGCAAAAGCGTTACTGTATTCTTATATAATAAAGCCGTCATAACCCAGGTTTGCCGAGGCTTACACGAATTGCAATTGAATTCTGAACTAAAGGTTGTCCCAGCTGTTCCGTGGAAGCACGGGGAAGGAAATCAAACATTTGTTTTAAACACATAGTTGTTTGCGTGATAATACTATACTTAGATTGTTATCAATATCATGTTTGGACATCAGCTTACATTATTACACTCGTTCTGCTAGCATTTTGTCGCTATGCATGTATATAGTAAAGAGATTTATCAATGAAAAAGGACCCCCCCCTCTTTGAAAGTTCGATTATTTACGACCATAACAAATGAAGTTAACTTACCGTTACTCGGTTTGCAATTCCTGTTAGGAGTTATCTATCTTATTCCTTCCTGGAAGCAACACTTAAATACGATCCATCAGTACAACGCATGGTAGTTCTACCAATCGTTTAACAGTAGAATTGGCTTATTAATATGATAATTACGTCACTTAGGTAAACATGGCACAGCACGTTCTTTTGTGATTTGTTATTTGAGTCATGGTCACGGCACTTTTTAACTTCTGTTTAATTGTGCTAATACGCCCAACTTGACATTTTAAGACGTCTTCATCAAAACTAAGCTGAAAACAATCGTGAAATTACGTGCAAGATAAGTATACTTACCATCGAACAAGCAGTATTATAGGCTAAGAAAACACAGATACAAGTCGTTAGAATATTGGACATATCAAAAAGTTATAGACGGTTCGCGCCACTTATGGTATATACGCCTGGTTTCGTTCGATGACGTCACTGAGTCTATATCACTGATTACTGGTAGAATTCTGTTTTATTTCTGTCAGTACAGTAGAATAAGAGCGTTATAGAAACCTGTTTAACTTCGGATGACTTGACTGCTTGTAAACAGGAATCACTTTCGGTTAAATACGCATCGCGACTGGTGACAACACACTAGGTTTGAAAAAATAACTTAAAACAACTCTCAGTTGATGCCTCCTAGCAACAACGACCTTCGTCGTCAGATCTAGCGGTATTCAGTCATCTCCACAACACAGAAAGAACGCCCTCTTTTCATACAACTCTCCTCAGAGTTAACAAGGTCGCTAGCTTCTAGCAGATAAAAAAAAGTCAAGAGAGAGAAAGAGTCTGATGAAATAGTAAGACGTAGCTCGTTCGATTAATGCCTCTGGAATTCGCAGAGATGAGCTATAAGAAACGCACATGCAAGACTGCAAACAACTACAATATGCGCACCCATCCCACAAGCTTCTAACTACAGTTTCTTACCCTCTACTAGAATATACTCGTCTAAGAGACACGCACCCCTGTATATCCGTAATGACGGTAATCTGCTTGTAGGGGCAGTGAGGCCGGCAGCGTAGGTTTGGCGCAGTCATACAGTGAAGGTGAAAAGTGATCAGACGTGCAGTCGAAAGCTGTATCGCAACCTACCTTCCCCATATAAATATCATTTGAATCAATGAGTAATATTGAGAATATAAATATCGGTTTGTTTTGTCTGTGCGGTACGTGGGATGCCAATATACGAGTTATTCTGTGTTAACGCGTTACTTTCTCTAGCTCTTATTTGAAACGAATGTTGATTGGAAAGTTAAAGGAGAAAAAGGGTTAATGTGGTTCGTCTTCGTTACTTGAAAAGTGGATAATCTACACACACAAAAACTGTGATTTCTGGATTAAAACATTGGGATATGATTGAAGAAAATCCTCCTAGTTGTCATGGTGACTGATTGAAAGTGTTTGTGTTTCAAAGAGTATCTTAACGTCAAATTACGAGGTCTGTGTAATTGAAGTAGTGTCCCGACGCTTAATTTTCTGCAAATCATCTGATAATGTACCATACTCCACATGTTCCCAATGCCAGTTGTGTAACGTGTTTAAAGATTTCTCCCTGTTAATTTTATATGATTACACAAGCTTGTAAGAAAGGTAGGTTTCAAGAAATGCATGTCAAAGACGTATTAACTTTAGATAGGGATGTAACTTTGTAGAAAGAAAATTCGTTTTTAGTTTGTTTTTCATTATGCTATCACTGTCATGTCGTGCTCCACTTTAAGTTTTTAAGTTATAGAAAATGGACTTTATCTTAAAGTTAAACTTCAAAGAAGTAAGGAATGATTAATTAGTTAAAAAATAGAGCAGTCTGACTCCCCTGAACCATAATTGATATAGTAATAAAGAGGTGAAAAAGTACAATTAAAGCCAAATTATCTAAATTCACTGGAAAAACTCTGTAGTTAGTCACATTCTGATTGTGGTCATGAAATGGACGTACACTGATAGTGTGATACAGTAACTTTTCCCACATCGACTTGAATTGTTCTATTGGAATACTAAAGACTATATCATAGTATTCGAATAAATTAAAGATTGTTACAATGCCGTGATTGTTTTCTATACTTTCTGTGGGCTTGTACTTATATTATTAAACTATATTTAACGCAAACTTAAGGACTTCACATGGTATTTTTGTTTAAAACAACGTATAATTTTTTAACTTGAAGAAAGAAATGAAACAGTTACAGGTTTGTAACCAGTATGCTATTGTTGTATTTGTAGTGCAGATGTAACCAGAATACTTCTAGTGTTGTATTTGTAGTGTAGATGTAACCAGAATACTTCTAGTGTTGTATTTGTAGTGTAGATGTAACCAGAATACTTCTAGTGTTGTATTTGTAGTGTAGATGTAACCAGAATACTTCTAGTGTTGTATTTGTAGTGTAGATGTAATCAGAATACTTCTAGTGTTGTATTTGTAGTGTAGATGTAATCAGAATACTTCTAGTGTTCTATTTGTAGTGTAGATAAGTACGCCCATAAAATTAAAAGCGATCGTGAAATATACTGATTACTGACATGTTTATTTTGAATAATAATGTAGCTCATGCATAATAAATACTTAATACTTTTTTTCAGGTATAAGTACATATATTTGGGAGAAAATAATCATAGGGCACGAGAGAATTTGAGGAAAACCTTTAAGTAAATTAATGGTAGCAACTTGACGTATTCAGGCGTTGTATGGGACCATTGCGCCATACTGTAATACTGAGAAAAGTTTGTGACGTAATTCAGATTTTAAGATTGTGGATAAAATAAATGCCTTTTTAGTTAAAATATTCTCCTCTCGACCTACTATTGTGATTAGATTAATCCAGTATGGAGCCAACTTTATGATACTTTTGTAAGAAATATTTCTGACGTTAATATGTTTTTTTTATACGTATTATTGCTAACACGTTTTTTCAAATCCATTTTCAGACATTTAGTTATTTTGTCTTTCTTGTATACATTTTAAGTAAGAGCTTATTAGTATAACAGTAATATAATATGAGTTGGGTACGTAGATGTAATCTGTTCTCCAAGTTTCATTTGTTATTTTGAGCTGTTATTCCTTTTTTTTTACGTGTTTTATTATATAAGCGGTTTGAAAAATCAGGGTTATTTTGTGGTTAACCGTTAAGTTCTTTAAAACCATTTTCCGATTTAGTTTTCCAGTCCCGGCCGGTTGTTAAAAAATAATAATAAGGTAAGGGGAATTCTGCCATAATATGTGAACTGTTAAGATTAAATTTATTGGTTTGTCTCAATTAGCTAAGTTATTAGTTAATGAGAAACATATCTGTTGTTAATGTTACAGAGCCTCCGATCCTAACATCATTTAGCCCTAAAATAACTATAAATACAAACTCGCTTTGGCTAAACAATAAACATAAAAAATCAGCTAATCATATTTCAATAAATGATAACACAAGTTAAACATATTCTCCAAGTTGAACACTTCTAGTGTGTAGTAAATTTAATCTAAAACTATCTGTTGTTTATAAAGGTGAGATTTCCATAATGGACAAATCAATGAAAAAACGTGAAACTATATTTGCAAGTGTGAATTTGTTAAGCCTAATAAATTCTAGCTAACCTAAGCGGTTTGCCTATTGAAGCATCTTTTCTACGCGAAATATCGATTTTTGACAGTTATTAGTAATACAACTGGAGCTTTCCATATCTTCACATGACAATCGCTTCATGTTAATACTCTATTACACGCTTGTTGTCTTACCTAGACAGCGTGAACGTGCATGTAGAAAAGCTTAACTAGTTATGTTCAAAGCCTTCCGAAATCTGTAAACAGATAAATATTACACCTTTTCGTTGGAGTGGTAAACCAGTTTATTATTTTCGGTATATTTATATATCAAATTGGCATGGCCTGGTGATAAGGACGCTCGACTCGCAACTTGCAGATTCAAATCCTCGTCGCCGAACATGCTACACCACTATTCGTTGGTAAAAGAGTAGTCTAAGAGTTGGCGGTGGGTGGTGTTGATGAGCTGCCTTCTGTCTAGGCTTACACTGCTAAATAAGGGTCGGCTACTTGGATAGGAGATGGCCGCCACCAGGTTAAAATCTTCCCGATGATGCATCAATATTTAAGATACCCCCAACGGTCGTAAGCGGCCTCAGGACTCCAATACAAAAAAATAATTGGAATTCTTTGTTATACAGCTGTTTATCTGTATTTGTGATAATTATCAACCTAAATCATTTGTATAATGCGATATACATGTTTTCTTGTTTATGTTTGCAAAAATGCACACGTTAAGCTAAACTCGGGAAAAAAAATCTAAAATTAATTTTTAATGAAATTTATTGCACGTCTAGTGTTATACTGAGAGGTATGCCACTGGAAGCAAGGGTTACTTGCTTCAAATTGCCAGTACTCAGTGTACCTGCAGGACGAATCTGTACGTGCCCGTCCCCGTTATTTTAAAGACATTTTACAATATAATGAGTTATTAATTACTGCATTACTTGTACTGCAGCACCGTATTTAATATGTATAATTAAATACAGAAAATGTGATGTCAGTATACTGTGTTTGCAACGGAAAATCACCCCTGACAAGAAAATCTGTAATAAGCGTAGACCGGAGAAAAATCCACTGTTCGGTTAGTGGCTGTGCACACACTACTACAGATGAGTAAATAAGCATAAGAAACAAGACTGGTACGATTTCTGTGAAATTAATATTACAGTATAAATAACAGTAAGAAATTTTTTCGCTAATGGGCAGTGCATGACTAGAGACAAACTCGTAGAACTTGTGCATTGAAATATTTAAAATTAATCGAACATTGATGTGACGAATATCTGACATTGACATGTCTTTATTGTGGTTACGGAGAATACGAAATTCGAACAATGTATCAAAATAGAGAGAGGTAAAGAGACACACCTTTTACTGGAAGCATGTTCTTTGTTATAGCTTGTGTAATCAACCCTACCGGTGGCTCTGAGAACGATAGTTCCTGACGGCAGGGAAATGAGCATATGACTTACAGAAACAAAGCCCACCCAGTAACTGGGTTGGGTAACTAAGGAATTTGCCCTTCATTCTATTTCAAGTGTGTGTGTGTGTGTGTGTGACACGCATAGCCGAGAAATGCAGTGCTTTGAAAAATTTATCCCTTAAAAATGAATGGGGGAAAACAAATGTGGAAAA